GCTTGCTTAGGGTTCGAGACTTGATACCGGGGCTTTAGGGGTTGTATATGAGCTTAGGGGAGTGGAAAATGTGAAAGATAATGATTTTTGGGGTGAAAAAGTGTAAAAAATCTGGAACCCTCGCATGCTATATATAGTCCGAAGGTTCGGACCCGAAGCTGCGCGAAGGTGACAGGCGTCGGACAGGTGGCGAGGCGAGGGGGCTTCTTCAGACCGGAGGCTCGCTGCTGGCTGGCTCGGATTGGACCAACCCTCGGTCCAATGGGAAGGAGACACGTGCGAAGGGGAGGGTCTGAGGCGTGTGCGAGGGGTGTCTCCGGGGCATCTCCTGCGAAGCTGTTAGCTTCTAAGTGGACCTCAGCTGCGGTCCAATCAGGAGGTGCCACGCATGGGTTCGGTCCAGTCAGCAGCTGCCACGTGCGAGGGTGACGTGGCATGCGAAATTGCCCGGTTTTTTCCCATTTTTTCTTTATTTTGTGCCAAACTTGCGAAAATCATAACTTTCGCATACGAGCTCCGTTTTTGGCGTTCTTTATATGCACGCGTAGGTAAAATCATACTCTACGACTTTTGTTTAGACTTTGTCGGCTAATTTTGAATTTATTTTTAATATTATTATTTTAAACAGACCGGGACGGGAATCCGTTAAAAATTCATAACTTCTTCATCCGACGTCCGTTTTCGTCTGTCTTTTTACCGTTGTACTACTACCGACGAGACCTTCAATTCTCGTTTAGGTTGTGTCGGCTAAAAATCGCTCGATCTTTATTTCGAGTTTTTAGTTGTACACTGCAATACTGAAACTTAGAAAAATCATAACTTCCTCATACGAAGTCAGATTTTTCCGTTCCTTTTATGAAAGTTCTCGGTTTAACATAAACTACAACTTTCATTTAGATTGTTAAGGCTAAAAAGCCTTTTATCAAAAATTCAGTTTTTACACTGAACAGTGTTTTGTGGGTTTTGTCGCGGATTTTCGATTGGTCATAACTTCTTCGTTATAACTCGGATTTTAGTGTTCTTTATGTTTTTGGAAACCTTATTACAATCTCCATCACTTGGTTCATCCCAATCGAGATTGCTAAATAATTTATTTTTGAGGGTTAATTATGTAAATATGCACATTATGCTAAAATTTCTCTTTATTATTATAAAAAGAACTATACATTGACCTAAACTATTACATATGTTTGAAATTACGATTTGTTACATTTACGGTCGTAAACCACCAACCATACACCGTTGACCGTAAACCCTTGGCCGAACACCCTTGGCCGTAAACCCTTGGTCGTAAGCGAGAAAACCCTCTCGACTCGCCGAGTCACTTGCACGACTCGTCGAGTCCCCCAAAGTTCATCATGATTACGGTCCTTTCCAGTGGGACTTAAGGTCCCAAACTTTAGATCCATCATCTCCTATTATAGATTTCACGTAAAGTTACAAACTTTACGTGCATGCAGGGCCTTTCATAATAAACACCAAAACTAATCCTCCAACAAGGTTTTCATTCATGGGGAGGGAATAAGCTTATAAAGCATGCAACTTTATGATAGTTGGGACCTAGTGAGGTTCAGATCTGGACCCATACCCTTATGATAGGTCCAGATCTAGGCTTGCTGCCATTTCCTCAAAGTTGGGTCATGAACTCCCAATTAGAATATAGGCTTAAGGTAACAGATTCATACCTCAATTTGATGCCCAAGACGAACTAGATGCTAGATCTAATGTTTTCCCCTTGATTCTTCTTCTCCAAGCTTGGATTCCTTCCCAAATTCCCAAAGTCAAGCTCTCAAATGCATACACTTCACACACCAGGGAGTTTGCGGCCGTACACAGTCTCTTATGATGCTAAGGGAGGCTACAAGAGCGTTTAATGAGGCTTATATAGGGGCAAACCCCACAATTAGGGTTTTTCATTAAACAACCCTGACTCGTCGAGTCACCCTTCTGACTCGCCGAGTCACTTCCGATTCGTGCCCCTGAAATACGACCCTGCTCGGCGAGTTGAGCTTCCAACTCGTCGAGTCCATGCTCAAATCCTTTCCAATTCAAACCAGGTGTTACACTTTCTAGTAAATTTATATGCTTAGAGTAAATTTTTATGATAGAATTAATTTTAATAAGAAAACTAAAACATAATTTAAAAAATGTTAGTTACAGTGGATTTGTGCTTATTGGAAATTGGCCAATAAACTTTTTGGATTTGACTCCTACGTTCCTTCGACTTTAAAGCCTTATACCACCTGCTTTAAGCATTTAACTTTAATATAAAAAGAATAATAATGAAATACAATTTTTAACTTCCTTTAAAATGCATAAAATCAGAAAATAAAGCAAAAAAATCTTGTTCATCATGCTTTAAAAGTTGTACATCAGAAATATTAAATCTGGAAAAAAAAACTACCCCTATTCAACGTAAACCCCACCTACATTCCTAATACTTTGCTAAACCCAATAAAATTGAATCCACCCTTGTTTTTATTTAATTCCTCACAAAAAACAAAGATAAAACAAATACAAAAACAAACAATAATATTTATATATTATATATCCATATATTAATGTTCTTTCTTCTTTATCACATAAAATCTACCGGCAAGCACTTATCTTGAAAATGCAGATGTCTATAAGTAAAGTAAGTAAAAAAATGGTACCAACGACGAGTCGTAGTGGCAGACGAGATTTGGAGAGTCCTAGAGGGTAGTGATGTCGTATGAGTCAACCGGCGGATCTTGATCATCGTAGGCTGACAGACGGATGCAAAAAGTGTAGCCGATTGTAAGAGTTATTTCACTCGGTTAGTCAGCGAGAGGCTGGCAGCTGAAGAAGAGGGTGAAAACAGAGAGTCGGGACTGAGAATGGAGAGGGATTAGAACTTCATCAACGTATTTCAGCAAAAGGTTTTTAGCTATTTTGGATCTAGGGTTTTAACTTTCTTTGAATAGTTGTCGATTTTTATTTCAAATTCACTCCTCACAGGATAGATTTTTCGTAAAAGTGAAGGCAAAGGGAAGATTTCAAGTCATACGTGATTGATTTTTAAGTAAAAAAGATAAGTAATTGATTTCTATATATATTATTTGCTAATTTGAAGCCTGAAAATGGGGATTGATTGAAACAAATTGATTTGAAATGATACTTCAAATAAAAATCGTTTTCGTTTGTTTAAGAATATAGATTCCTTGCTTATTACACTTTTTTTTGTACAATTCAATCTTTTGAACTACCATTGTCAATTTTCTATAATCTCTATATCTCTATATTTATATAAGTTTGTGTGGTACCAATCAGGCGAAGCATACACCGAAGAATATGAGGGTGAAAACCAGCCCTACCAATATTGACTACAAGATCATGGGTTTGAGTGAGAAGCCTTGCAATCAGCAGCTGTATGTTTTATTTTTTATGTTATATGTTTTGGTATGATGGAATTATAAAAGGCATGGAATGGGTGATTCCATAGGAATGAAAAAAAATAACCATTCTATTTTCCTCAATGGAGTGGAGTTGACCATTCCTGAACTAATGTGATCCTTTCCATTTATGTTATTTTAATGACATTGTTTTTTTAAGAAAAGAAGAAAATATAGTTTTTAATTTTTATTACATTACATAAATGGAAAGGTTTCGTTGAGGCAAAAGTTAAAAGATGAGAATGGTGAATTTGAGGCTTTGGAAGTTACTGTTTATGACTATTTTGTGAATTATCGCAAAATCAAATTGCAGTATTCTAATGAACTTCCATGTGTGAAGGTCGGGAAGCCTAAAAGGCCAACTTTCTTCCCCCCTTGAGGTACAACACTGGGGTTTTATCTCTATGTGGGCCCACACTTGTCATTTTCTAATGGTTGTTCTTACTATGTGTGGTGATTTGTCGCAGCTGTGTTCATTGGTCTCTCTACAATGCTATACAAAAGCACTCAACACAATGCAAAGATCCTATTTGGTGGAGAAATCCAAAAAAAGCCTCAAAAAAGAATGAGGGTTTTAAGCGATGTACATACACTTCTTAAACTTCAAGTGGTTTTTATTTATTACTTTTAATAACAGGATTTTGAATTTTTGCTTTGTGTATTTTTCAGGCACTATCACTCAATAAGTATGATGAGGAACCGTTGTTGAAATCATGTGGGATTTCAATAAACAACAACTTCACACAAGTGGAAGGCTGTGGACTTGCGGCCCCAAAGGTACTTTTTTTGGATTTGATGGATTGTAATTTTAATATTTTAATATTGGTATTGTTGTTACTATGTGTGGTGATTTGTTGTAGTTGTATTGTTGTAATTTTAATATATATATATATATATATATATATATATATATATATATATATATATATATATATATATATATATATATATTGGATTTGATGGATTGTAACTTTTTTTCTTGCATTTAGCCCAAAATTTATAAGTTCATTTATTCAAAACCCCATTAGGAAAAATGCAAGAAATAACGTTCTAGTTTGATTGATTTGTTTTACATCCAACTTTCATTTCTTTCTGTTACATCAATATCATGGAAGCTTTAATAAACAAAGTAGGTGATATGGACTAAGAAAATTTTCTAATGGGTCTCATTTTGTTATGTATTTTTATAATGCAAGTTGTCTCACCATGCTAAGTGAAAGGAGGGTGATTTTACACATCAAGACCTTCCTTTGTACCTTAATACCTTTTACATTGTTTGAGAAAAAAGCAACACCAGGTAAACATAATACTTAATTCTGAGTATAGAAACTATTTTTCATAAAATCAATGAAGTTATATAGTAAATAAAATAATATAATAAATTAATATTTAGAATTTATGGGTTTTAACTTTGCAGAGTACATGCAGGGGTAAAACGGTCATTTCCTAGAAATTAATATGAAACAAACAATTCAAACCAAAAAACAACCAAATCCATCAAATCTCTAACAAAAAAACGAAAATTTCTTAATACCCTTACGGAAAAATTAAAAAACTGATTATTGTTCTTAAAAGGTAGCTAACCAGTCATTTTTCCAACTTAACCTTGACAATTTTTTGTTGTCCAGCTTCCCCTCCTACAACTTTTGTAGTCTTTGATGACAACATGTTGTCGTTGACATCGAAAACAAAATCATCCTCAAGAGCTCGCTTCAAACCTTTCGTTGCATCCAAATTCTTTTTTGGGCTTGTGGCTGTCGATTTGAAAACATTCATTGGTGTTACAACATCATCAGTCTGAGATATGGCATCCTAGAATTAACAAAGAAAAATGGTATTATTATAGGTTATTAAAGTTTAGGATAATACTAACATGAGATATTTCGATAACTTAGAGTACACCTTTATAAATATGTTATCTTGAGATTCACAATCAGTGGTACCATGTTTAAACAATTGTGAATTACCTCCCTGTTCAAAACGTAAATTAAAAATTAATAAGCCGTTTATTAGGTATATTATATTTTGGAAAAAATTCAAATATAATAACCTCTGCAACGACAAACTTTTTTCCAACTCCTCAATCAAAATCTCATCATCACTAATCTTGGAAATAGTATATTAATTGTTGTTCCTTTGCACATTGTATTTTGAAACAGAAACTATGAAAGCCAATTTCATATCTTTCAATACTTTAATATCGGACGGGTATATGTTAGTACAAAATCCAAGCTGCAAGTAAAAACATCAATAGATGAAATTATATTAAAAAAACAATAATTTTTTTAAATAATAATAACAAAAACATTCACCTTAGCTGTTTTTGCAACGAAATCTTTTTGCAGAAATTTTTAGAAGCTTCTTCGCATCTTGTTCAAACATTGTTAAAGTGATACTTCTAGTATGATCTTAAACTCTTACCGGAATCATGAACCTTTTGACAAATGTAAAATCCTCAAAATTATTCAACATAATTAGAAAACACTATTATATGAAAATTGAGTTTTCCAAAAAGTATTAACCTTGGAAAGGTCGATGTTTCAGCTTTAGTGCATTTTGGATTTCGACATTCATATGTTACATATTTGAGTGATCCGGTGACATTGGGTTCATCGGAAGGATTGTTTGGAACTTCCTTTGTATTGCAATTTGTACATGTCGGGTAATACGAAGGTGCATTTTGAAGAATTCCCTTTATGGTCGCAACAATAACATACTTTTTTATCTAATTAAAAAAAGACAATAATATTATAAGATGTATTGAATATTAAATAACCAAATGTGTTAATTAGAGAAATTATATCTGAAAAAACAGAAGTTATAAAGATTGATAGAAATTGCAGAATTTTGTTTACCTCAATCGGTTCGAAAATATCAGAGATTGTTTTTAGCTCATGATTAAGAACAAATTCATCCTTTTCAGAAATTCGATTAGATTTCATATAAGAGAAAGTACCGGATGAGTTTCATGGGGACCATCTTCATTCCAACAATTAATTAACATCATAGTTACATCTTTTATAACATAAATTGCCATTTATTATTAACAAAAAGAGATTAAAGAGATGCAATATACCTTTTTTTGAAAACTTTTATCTCATCAATGTCACTATTGATGATGAACTTCGATACATCATAGTATGTATTAATATATCGGCGATCTATAAAAAAAAAATATAAAAAAATAAGTAAATAATCATTGCAATATAAAACATAAATAAAAAAAACATTATACATTGTTAGACATTAATCTTTGCAAATTGAAGGATTATGACGATGTGGAGAATGTTTGGATTGTTTTGGATGTAATATGAGAATGTGTAACAATAATTCCCCCATAGGTTAACATCCAATTGAGAACCACTAACAAAAAAGATGGGAATTAAAAATTAAAAATAATAATTTTTTTTGATATTGCAATATAAAAATAGTTAATATAGTCAATAATTGTAGTTTATAAAAAACAAACTTGACATCTTGGATTTGTAGTCTCATCTTATGCCTCTTTCTATCTTCATTTCGAGCATCAATTTCACCAATTGCAACCACCAAACCGATAACATTTATATATAAGCATAAATACCAAAAAACAGATGAAATTAGTTATTATTTTAAGGTTAGAAATAAATAATTTATTTAAAATATATAAATTGTTAGGTAAATAGAAAATACTAACCCAATGAAATATTTTCTGGAACCGTGCCGGCGATAATGGGATGATAGTCAATAAAAGCAAACTCATTAACTGATCCCAAAAAATCGAGACACGGAGTGACAGTAGTCTCGCGATTGAAGGTGAGCTTTTGCATTTGATCAGTTAGTTGAAATTTATCTTAGTCAATCTTTGCTAAATTTGGATTTTTGATGAAAGAAGCTTCCCCTTCTTTTAGAACTTTTCTAAACTTGTAAATGTAAGCATTAACCTTGGATCTTGTTACCCTAGATTATGATGTATATTAAAACCAACATTCAAGTTTTGTTATTAAAAAGATAAATAAAAATATAAATATGTAAATAATTTAAAACCATATATGTAGTATACCTATTCGTCCACTAGAATAACTTGAATGGAGAAAATTTTGTCTTTCTTATAGTACCATTCCAGTGTCCATAAATTAATAACAGGAAGCTTCACAGTGAACATGTCCTTCAAGACATCAAGATCACGTATGAGAGTAAAATCAGCAGCAACCATGAATTTGTAAAATAGGGTAATATTATAAATACATGACAAATATAAAATACATCTGGAGGTGCTGACATCTTCAATGGAACAGATGAACTCTTTGTAAGATAAATCATTCATATATATACATGCATCCCAAAACTCAGAACTCGATCAAAACATGATAAAATTTATTCATGAAATTATACAAACGCTGGTTTTTGGTTATTATTGTAATTATATATCTTCATTAATTCATAGATATATAAATTATAATCATGGAAATCTAAATTAACAAAACTTAAAGATAAATTCTGGAAACCACATCAAAACTTAGATCATGGGAGTGTATGTTGTAGAGTGAAGAGTTATGTATATTAATCTAATGGATTGAAATGTATTAATGTAGATGCAGAGATGCGAAAAAATTATACTCTGAAAGCTTTGAATACACCAGTGAAGAAAACAATTTTATCGATCGATATTTACACATATTTATAGGTATAATTATAAAGTAATCGTCCATTCTTTGCAGATTTTTAGGGATATCAGATCTGTATATTTGTATATCTCTATAATTATAAACTGAATATTTTGAATGCAGGTAAATTCTGGAGTATTAAAACTAATTTGTTGATTTGTTGGAGTTGATATGGTAATTTCAAGATTTAAAGGAAAGAATGAGTGGGAAAAGAAGCCAAATCGTATTTATGGTAGTGAATCTTGGAATTAAAGACGTTTAAGAGGGTGAAATTGGAATATCAATAGCTGGTTTTTAGGGATATGATATTTGTATTATTTATATTTAAATGCATGTAAATTTGTAAAATTAAAACTTATTGACTAAATTTTAGGACCTGATTTATGAAATCAAATAGTATTGTGATATTAACAGGATGAATTCTGGAAGTTTATTAGGGAAACACGTAGCAGGTATAGAATGTGACACATGGCAGTTTTTAGATTAAACCTATTTATTTATTAGAAAGATATATATATATATATATTATATATATATATATATATATATATATATATATAGAGAGAGAGAGAGAGAGAGAGAGCTAGATTCAAATGTTTCTACCAACTATTGTGTTCCTAAATGCACCAATCACACATTAGCAAATAATTAAATAATTAATTAAATCAAAAAGGGTATTTTTGGTTTTTTGCACTTGCAATTAAGGAAACAAAATAAATATATGTTGACCTAATATCTCTTCTTTCTAACCATCGACATACCTCTGTATCCCTCATCTTGCCACTGTCGTATCTTCTTCTTCCTCCCTCTGCTTCGTCGGCTTCGTATTCCATCACCCAAATCGGTCTATAGTTGTCGCCGTACACCAACATCATAGCCCCTGGTATGTTCTTGAACTCAATTACTAATTTTTAAACCTAATTTCTGATTTTACAATCAAATTTCTTTTGAGAATGGTTACAAAAGAGTGATGAACAATTTGATCTTCGTCCATTTTTTTCTTTATCACAGATCCAAAACCACATATCTTATAGCATTGAGATAGATTCTTTAGTTACAACTAAATGAATATATATAGCATTAACGTTGCACTCGTCCACATCAGGTAAGATAGAAAGGGTTAAGGATTTTGCATGTGATATCGTCGATGCACAATACAAGGTTTGTATTTATGCCGATTTCAGTACCTTCAGTTGATGCCTGATGTGGCCGATAGCATTGAGATAGATTCTTTGTTTTTATTTGGTATTGAAAAACTTAAACTTTGATGTTCTCTAAAGAATTTATGTTTTTTTTTATTTTGCTTCTGATCACACTAAGCCTTTCACAGGATTTTGGTTTGTTTGATGATAATGCCTAATAAGTGTTTGTTGAAATGCATGAAAGAGAATCTAAAGAATTTAACCTTGTGGTAAGCATTCTGTCACAATTACTAGCATCACATGTTTTATGTAATTGTTTAAAAAGGTAATTAATTTGTCTGTGTATTATTTTTGTTCAATTTGTGATTTTGAATTCCAATTTCTATTGTCCCTCGTTATTGTATATTTGGTATCTAAAATTATATTAGTAGTAAGTACGATACTTTTGAATATATTCTTTGTATTCTGTCAGAATGTACTCTGCAAGAATAAAATCTATGTATTCTGCTAGAATATATTCTATGTATTCTATCATATTATATGTATTCTACCAGAATATATAAAGTGATAGTTAATTGTAAGTAACATGTTTTTAACCATTATTAGTTTTTGTTGTATTTGTGATAGGAATGGCTGGAAGAATGCATTGAAGACCTAATAGGAATAACTTGAAGAATGAATAAAGTTTGATCATACTCACAATTTAAGAATGTTGTTATTTTTTAAGAATATTATTCATTTTTGTTGATATTCTTTTAGAATATGTATAATTATATTAAAATGTATAAGACTTTTAGTCTGTAAGAATATGTATTTAACTTCGGATGTATAAGAATATATTAGAATGTTGTTATTTTTCAACTTCGAATTCAATAATTTTGTAATTCTTCAATAATATTCTAATAGAATAAAATTCTGAAAGAACATCATTCAAACAAAAAAATATTATGACAGAATAAAATCGGTTATGTTTACAAATTACGTTAGAATTAAAATTAAATTAATTAAAAAAATTCAGATTTTTTAAATTAGGGGAATTAATTTTCCCTTAAAATCCGAAAATTTCCTTTTATATATGTAGTTAATTGTCCAAAATACCATTTTGCTAAAAATTGTGTTATTATAGGGTACATGATATCCCATTGTAGTATCATACACTCTCAAATCATATCAATTGATTAATTTCATCTGTTGGTCCAGATCTTTGTATTAATAGTTAGTAAAAACAAAATAACCTAAGCCTATATATATATATATATATATATATATATATATATATATATATATATATATATATATATGTTGTGTGTGAGAGAGAGTGAGAGAGAGAGAGAGAGCACCGACCGTGGCATGACACAACCGAGCTCGGGACAAGCAGCACAACCGGCACGGTGTAGGCCGTATCCGGCATATCATGACCAATGTCATGGCCACTCCCTATGGTCTAATATAATCATCATACTTCTATGTCTCAAAAGAGATGTTTATTCTTCTTAAATTTAATTATCTAAACCAAGTACTAATCGTTATTTGTTTTTCACAGTCTTCATATCTTTTAGTTTAATATTCTCATTTTATATGAAAAAAAAAACATATATAAATTCTCTCTAATAATTAAACAATCTCTATGAACACTCAACAAAACTCTCGCCCCTTAAGCTTTAATACAAAGTTCTCATTATCGTGTTAGGTTAGATTGCACTTTATGTGGATTAAATCCAATCGATTAATGCTTCAAACTCCTGACCCATGGACGAGACAAAATTAATTCAAAATAAATTATTTATATACTAAAATTATGAAATTGCAGCATAAATTTATGAAATAACATCATGAACTCATGTATTTACATGATTGTGAATATAATTAATCGATAGTCAAACATGTGAATGACGTGTAGAGTGGATCTTCATAGTATGAGGAAAGATTTGGCAGATATTTACTGCCGAAATACCATTTTGCTTTCAAATTGGTGTATGTACGTCAACATCCTCCGATTTTTCTTTATATAAAGGATCGTTTTGGATTATAAAACTTTTATTTAATTTAATCATTTTAAAAGCGGCTACAATTACATTTATTAACTTATTCGGTTGCTATAGGGAAATCTCCAGAAAAATCCTAAAATTTTATCCTAATTTACGAAAAAGTCTCAAACTAAATTTTGTTTACGAAAAAGCATGAATTACCGGTAAAAATGACGATTTGACCCCTTTTTTCCGGTTTACCGATTTTATTACTTATCTGTTTCACTAAAGTCTCATTATTTAACCTAATTTGCGAATAAGTCCCAAAATAAAATTTACTGATGATTTGGCCATTTTCTCTATGTAACATACATTTTACCAGTTTCATTGTTGATCCGGACGTCTAGTCATTAAATGAGATGATGAGATGGATATGTTGAGCTATATAATGTTATGTTTAGCATAAAACTTGATATCCTGATGTATTGTATATCTTTTTGAAACATAAAATGCATCCAACAAACACTACAATAATTACATAAACTAACAACAACTGCGTTATTTTTTACGTTTATAAAAAATATCAAATTGTCTATATAATCTTATGTAACCCAATATATCCATCTCATCAGACATCAACTCATTTTCTGCCCTTTTTTCTTGGAAACACACATTTTATTCGTTTCATTGCTGACGTAGATATATAGTCATAAATGAGCCGATGAGATGAGTATCAAATTTTATAGTAAATGTGGCATTATATAACTCATCGTATTCATTTTATCAGCTAATTTAATAACTAGGTGTCTAAGTCAGCAATGAAACTGATAAAATATATGTTACATGAAAAAAATGGCCAAATCATCAGTAAATTTTATTTTGGGACTTATTCGCAAGTTATGGTAAAATAATGAGACTTTAGTGAAACATGTAAGTAATAAAACCGGTAAACCGGAAAAATAGGGTCAAATCGCCATTTTTACTGGTAATTCATGCTTTTTCGTAAACAAATTTTAGTTTGAGACTTTTTCGTAAATTAGGGTAAAATTTTAGGACTTTTCTGGAGATTTCCCGTTGTTATATCTATAAAAATAGCTAATTATTAAATCAAAGACACAAAATATATTATATTTTCATTTGTTTTTTTTTATAATTTTACTGTTTGTTCTAAATATAATATTGTATTTTTTTTAATTTTGTTCAATGTTAAAAATTTCACCAAAACCCTTCCGGTTACCCATTGTCACGCTGAGTTGAAAAATGGTGTTAGTCGCGGCATAAAAGTCGCCACATTATCATTTTTTTTATACTAAAAAATCACTACATTATCAAAAAAATCAATTTCGAGCATCTTCGTCTCTAAAGATCATTTTCTATATTCAGTTTGTTAATTTAGTAACAAAGATGATTTAAGAGTTTCAAGTCAAATATCTTCATCCTAAAGATCGTTTTCTTCATATGTTTTGTGTAGTTCGTTAACAACTTCTTATTAGATTCGAGGTGTGGGTTCGGGTAATGAACAACATGTCAAGATGATTCCATGTATGAATAGACATCACTTCATATATGAAGCCACTCATGCTAACTTGGTTGTGATAGTCAACAATATCAAGGTTGGTGCTTTTCTAGATAAGGTATATCATTTGTTTATAATTGTTAGATTTTTTAGTTCGATCCAAAATAAATTTTATGTTTATTTTTAATCATTCTTGCTTTGGGTATTGTAGGATAAATGGATGGAGTTGTTTCTGCCAATTATATATATTGTAAAAACGCTTCATATGGCACTCCTACTATTTACGAAAATGCAAATGGTATGTGTGTATATATTTACATATATTTTGTGATCCACATGTAAGATATTTTTTTATCAAGATAAATTTTGGATAAATTATAAGATTTTTTTGTAGCATTTTTTTTGTTCTGAACAGATGTATGTTAAGCTGGAAATGTTATCACCACCGGTGCTAACAAGGGAAATCCATTTCCTTCGTTACTGTACATAAAATAGTGATGATGGAAGTTGGGTAATAATTGATTTCCCATTAGTTGATTTTCATAAGAATTATTAGGTCTCACTTACTACATACAAGGTTTGCTCTTTGGGTTGCATTATCCAAGAAATTCCTGACGGTTATTCAAGTGTGAGAATTCAATATATACCACATCTATTTAAGTTTAACTATTGATCTTGTTATATACCCTAATAACTCTTTTTTATTGGTTCAAGTTACATGGATTCATCAAGGATGAGCCCGTTCATTGGATATTCACTGATTATGTTAGTAGTGTGATATCATTTAGAGGACGATGGTAGCTAGTTGTTTAAAGTGCCAATGTGAGAGGCTTGTGAGCCTTATGGTTCGAAATAAATAGGATATTACATACATACATACATACATACATACATACATACATACATATATATATATATATATATATATATATATATATATATATATATATATATATATCAAAGTTATTATTTAATGACATGACATGATCGTAGGTGTATTTTCTCTATAGGTTAACCGAGTTACATGGACATGATTACATGTTTACATCGATATTGTAACACATGTTTTGTAAATAATAGTACATGAGAAGGTTTAATACTATTATAAATTGGTGGTAAACTTTATTAGCAATGTTAGAAGCCTATTTGACCATATGGGTGTTTTGGTCAATTGTTTGAATGTTATGAAATTTAATAATCTTGTTTTGTGATCATGTTGATACATGATATTATAAAAACACTTTGGAGTT